GAGGTATGAATAGATGAGGCATCCTCCCTCATCAGGGTAATAAACCAATTGGGCAACCTTGTGGTTAGTGGTCATTGGGCAGTTTGATGGAAAATGTAGTCTGCAAATGCAATTAGTATAAACAATGGTATGTGGTAGATTGGAACTAATGCTAAAATAGGGACTGCAAAAACACAGTGTCACATGTGTGTATATGTGTATGTGTGTATATGTGTATGTATGTATGTGTGTGTGTGTATGTATGTGTGTAGTGGTAGTAGTAGTAGTGGTAGTTGAAGTAGTAGTGATAGTGGTAGTGGTAATAATAGTAGTACAGTAGTAGTAGCAGTAGTAGTTTAAGCCTTCACAACATAAGGATATATACATAACTTAGCAATAAAAATAATAGTTATAATAATAATAATAATAATAATAATAATAATAATAATAATAATAATAATAATAAATAATATATGTAGGTGATCTTAGTGTATCCGAATAAATATTTAGTTGTATTGTGTTAAATTCATTTTAAAAAACACACTGTCACATGTGTGTATATGTGTATGTGTGTATATGTGTATGTATGTATGTATGTGTATGTATGTGTGTAGTGGTAGTAGTAGTAGTAGTGGTAGTTGAAGTAGTAGCGATAGTGGTAGTGGTAATAATAGTAGTACAGTAGTAGTAGCAGTAGTAGTTTAAGCCTTCACAACATAAGGATATATACATAACTTAGCAATAAAAACAATAGTTATAATAATAATAATAATAATAATAATAATAATAATAATAATAATAATAATAATAATAAATAATATATGTAGGTGATCTTAGTGTATCCGAATAAATATTTAGTTGTATTGTGTTAAATTCATTTTATCATTGAGTTTATTCATTAATAAACAGTAATTGTAGTGTCATCGTCGTTTCACGTATAATGTAGGCCTATCCAAAATCATACAGAGTACAGTACAAGAAATGTTGAAACACAGTTAACATTATAATTAGTTACCGTAACATTGTTTGTACAGTATCTTTTTAAGATGGGGTGATGCCAGTAGGCCTATAATATAAAAAACAAGTCCCACTAGTTCCGAGAAATCAACTATGTTTATTATAGGCCAGTTTATTCGTAGTCATCATCATCATTAGGCCTATCGTCACCATTATTTAAGTAGGGTCATCGTTTTTCATGAATTACGTAGGCCTGTCTATACCTATCGTAGTGCATTTTAAACGTCCTTCGTAAACAAACCGTTCATTTCGGTGACTAAATAAGGCTCAGACTTATACAGTTTTTTTTGTAATCATAGCCTAATCCGTATTAGCTTAAAACATAGGCATATAACATATTATATTTACTTCGCCATGCAAACCTTCAAAAAATACTTTAATCTAATCATTATTCATTTCTTTTATATATATATATATATATATATATATATTATATAAATCATCAAAGGTACATATACAGTGTTTAATAAGGACATGATGGAACATCGTAGGATACCCTGTAGCTTTTCAACGAATAAAGTCCTATGAAAAATCATTGTGTAATAAAATGCCTCCGACGGGATTCGAACCTGCGACCTCTCGCTGACAAGGCGAGCGTCATAACCACTAGACCACGAAGGC